TTTTGTCGTTTTTCTCCTATACCAAAGCTCATATAAAATGCCGTTATTAATTTAAAAGAAGTGTAAAACGTAAACACTTACTCACATGTTTATGGACGCATGTATGATATTCACTAGTTAAATCTTGCGGCTCATACATATATAGAAGAAAAGGCAGTTTTTAAACTGTATATTATCTTTAGATAGATATTCATATACTGTAATATAAAGTTCGCTTAGTATTTTATTAGACATATAAGTATATACAGACGGAATCAACATTGTGGTACCTTAAACAAACTTGCAGAGATTGATTTAAATGCTTCCACTTGCTGTCCCCAATGAATATAGTTTACATATTTTATATAGTCACTCTGTCTATAGGAAAATGTAACCTTCACTGTGTGTCAGCAATAAATGCCAGTTGTGATGGATTTGACAAGGACGAGAGAGAGAAATACGGCAGCGCCTCTCACGCGGTTAGAAGATCGGGGGTCGAGTTTTTTCGAGAAATGGCCTACACGAGTTAATTACATCACTGAAAAGTACATGAGAGTAATGCAGTTTTTCCAAAGACTGTTACGTTAATTTTGTTTTTATAAATATCGAAAGATTTTTGTATATGGTGATATAATTATTTTTAATATGGCTCACCACTATCCATAAGTTGGAACTGAATCATTTCTCTGTAAATAAAAACGCCTTTAATTTCTATGACGTGAATCTGACATGATCGTAGCTGTAATAATTATATTAATGTATTTCGTAGACTTCAGGTAGGTAGGTAGGTAGGTAGGTAGGTAGGTAGGTAGGTAGGTAGGTAGGTAGGTAGGTAGGTAGGTAGGTAGCTTGGTAGGTAGGTAGGTAGGTAGGTAGGTAGGTAGGTAGGTAGGTAGGTAGGTAGGTAGGTAGGTAGGTAGGTTGGTAGGTAGGTAGGTAGGTGGGTAGGTAGGTAGGTAGGTAGGTAGGTAGGTAGGTAGGTAGGCAGGTAGGAAGGTAGGTATAAGCTGGGTATTCCGAACCTATTAATGTGTTTGTCATGATGATTAATATATAAAATGCCGAGGTTACTTATCTTATGATTCTGTGTAACCTCTACTGCCACTCGTGCAGCCAGGAGGAGAAGGAGGAAGAAGAACCTCTAGGCAAATCGCAAGCATCTTGAAGATCTCCACTGTCAAGAGATGGTCTGAAACAAAAAACAAACATTACTACAATATAAAAAAGTGCACCGTATTCAATGGAACGAAAACTCCTGGAAAAGGCATTAGTGAGAACTTAGGTACTATACAACTTAATCTGGAAGCAAAAATAAATTTTAATACATTTTGTCTTGCACGAAGTTGCTTTTAGGTGAGGTGCCAGAGCAGCTTTTATAAGCCTCCTAGTGACGTGTCATGGAAAAGGAATAAAACACTAAATGTATATAAGATACTGTTTCCTGGTGCATCATTATAATTAATAAATATGAGGGAGAGCAAAATGTTCCCTGCTACAGAAACATGGACAACCGAATCATGAAGACGTGGTCAGCAGGTCACTCCAATTGCACCCTTCATCACACTTCACTGACATATCATTCTATCCTTGGAGTGTGTACTGAATAACCCAGAACATCTCATTCTAAGCACAATTCTACTGTAGGTTTCATATTGTCGTTTACACTTCACAATTCAACTTTTTCCTCGGTGCCTTCCATATTAGTGTCTCTCATCAGCATTCAGATCTCCCAAACAACTTGTCTAAGGAAGAAAAAAAAATTCGTACACATTCATTTGACAAATCCCAGAATTTCTTGCTGTACCACTTCGCAAACAGGTCTACCGACCTATAGGTAGTAGGTTGGTAGACAGCAACCACCCAGGGAGGTACTACCGTCCTGTGGAAGTAGGTTGGTTGATATCAACCACCCAGGGAGGTACTACCGTCCTGTGGAAGTAGGTTGGTTGATAGCAACCACCCAGGGAGGTACTACCGTCATGTGGTAGTAGGTTGGTTGATAGCAACCACCCAGGGAGGTACTACCGTCATGTGGTAGTAGGTTGGTTGATAGCAACCACCCAGGGAGGTACTACCGTCCTGTGGTAGTAGGTATTTAGACAACAACCACCCAGGGAGGTACTACCGTCCTGTGGTAGTAGGTTGGTAGATAGCAACCACCCAGGGAGGTACTAACGTCCTGTGGTAGTAGGTTGGTAGACAGCAACCGCCCAGGGAGGTACTACCGTCCTGTGGTAGTAGGTTGGTAGACAGCAACCGCCCAGGGAGGTACTACCGTCCTGTGGTAGTAGGTTGGTAGACAGCAACCGCCCAGGGAGGTACTACCGTCCTGCCAAGTGAGTGTAAAACGAAAGCCTGTAATTGTTTTACAAGATGGTAGGATTGCTGGTGTCTTTTTTCTGTCTCATAAACACGCAAGATTTCAGGTACGTCTTGCTACTTCTACTTACACCTAGGTCACACTACACATACATGTACAAGCTTATATACACACACCCCTCTGGGGTTTCTTCTATTTTCTTACTAGTTCTTGTTCTTGTTTATTTTCTCTTATTTCCATGGGGAAGTGGAACAGAATTCTTCCTCCGTAAGCCATGCATGTTGTAAGAGGCGACTAAAATGCCAGGAACAAGCGGTTAGTAACCCCTTCTAAAGTCAAAAATTCTTAATTTTCTTTTTTTGGGGGGGGGCACCCTGCCTCAGTGGGATACGCCGTTTTGTTGAAATAATAATAATAATAATAATAATAATAATAATAATAATAATAATAATAATAATAATAATAATAATAATAATAATAATATTTATTTCTACCAGTACATGTGCAAGGTATACAGACCATAGCTGACATCAGTGACATACTACTATATAGAAAGCCTCTTGTTATGCTGAGCATTTCGGGTAATTGGTCCAATTTTATTTGTAAACTCAGTAAAGATCAACACTGCATCAGATACGAGCATTTACAGTGATAGTCAAGAATTAAATGTAAATTCTTCTTGGGTTGATAATGAGTAGTACGTACTACAAACACCTAATTTTTGATTACCAATGATATGTAGACGTAATTGACCAGGAACAGGTACAAATACCTACATAGTACATAGAGAACAGTGTAGCAGGAGGCTTGAATAAGGTTCATGTAAATATAACTACAAACAATATGACGGGAAATTGTCTAAGTTATTTTTCCACTTTCCAATAAAACTCAATGGATAAGCTAAAACTGCGTATTAAAAGAAAATAAATCCTAGAGAAGGTTATCACGTTGGTAGGTGAAAGTTACCAGATCCCAGACAGAATGTGTTGGATCGTGTTCAGACTGTTGCAATTAGGAACCGAGGAACGGGTATATAAGGAGGCGCATAGTTCGCCAGGGTTTCAGTCAGGTGAAGCCTCTTGGTAAGTGACGGTGAGCTTATCCATCCTCCACGGGGAGATCAGTGTCATAAAATTCATTGAGAATTATTGACTTAAAACAAATCTGTGATGGATAAGAGAAAGTTCTCACTTACATAATAATGCATTAAGAGTAGATATCACTCTTATTTTTGCCCTGTATTTTTCCATTCTCTTCTTCGTTTGATTTTCTCCTAAATCTGTATTTATCCCACAAGCTTCCCTTGTCAGACATTCAGCCTCTCATAACTTATTAGTGAGGCAAATCATCACAGATATCGGCGCAAGAATCATAATACAATCATTCTCGCAGATGTTAGCGCAATCACCATAACAGATGTTACTGCAGTCATCCTTGCAGTTGTTTTGGTTGGATATCTAGCTCTCTTTATCCACTGTACCCCGTCTAGAACAGTTGTCACCCCTGACGGTGTGTAACATGGTGTCTCAGGTGCACTTTCTATTAGTGACTATTAGTTTTGCTCTATATTTCTTATCCCTACTGAGAAAATGAATTCTCTTAACTGGAGTAAGTTCCGGGGGTCAACGACCCCGCGTCCTGGTCCATGACCAGGCCTCATGACTGAAATTCCACTCTCTCCCCATTTCACTCCTTTTGCATTAGCTATGCTTTCGCTCAGGTTTTCAACTGTTAGACACTAATTTATATTTTCCTAATTTAATACCTCTTCTTCCCATTATCACACTCCTGTTATGTAGTCTTTGATGCTTCTAGAGTTTACTTTCCCGGTTTCATAAAATCTTCATTGACTCCTTCCAGTGCCATCATCTTGGACTCCTCCACTGTTAATTCTCTATCTCTTTTCCTGGAAACATTGCTTTAGTAATTTCGCTGGTAAATTTAGTCACAACAGTGGTGATTATGTTTAATTTTCCTTCTGCTACTTTTCCCTTCTCGCTCCACTTGTGATTTCATGGGTATTCCAGCACAGAAGTCTTTGCCTCCTGTCGAACATGTGTTGAAATGGATTTTTTCTAACTGGTTAGTCTCTGCTGCAATTCTATAGCCACGGTAGATGGTATCATCATAGTTGGGGGGGAGACTTAGAGAGGTAAGATATTACTTCCTCTTTGTTAGGATGACAGGAAGGATGATAGGGAGGATGATAGGGTATATTGATAGGGGAAAATGGTGGTGTAAGAGGGAGAGTTGGATGAATAATGATAGAGTTGTAATTGAAGTAAATGGCTGGATTGGGGACAAGAAAGAGATGAATTGATGTCGAGGAAAAGGTGTGAGTGGTTTTCTGAAGGTATGTGAATGGTTGTGGGTAAGGGGTCTGAAGATATGTGAATGGTTGTGGGTAAAGGGTCGAAGATATGTGAATGGTTGTGGGTAAGGGGTCTGAAGAAGTGAATGGTTGTGGGTAAGAGGTCTGAAGATATGTGAATGGTTGTGGGTAAAGGGTCTGAAGATATGTGAATGGTTGTGGATAAGGGGTCTGAAGGTATGTGAATGTTGTGGATAAGGGGTCTGAAGGTATGTGAATGGTTGTGGGTAAAGGGTCTGAAGATATGTGAATGGTTGTGGGTAAGGGGTCTGAAGGTATGTGAATGTTGTGGATAAGGGGTCTGAAGGTATGTGAATGGTTGTGGTAAGGGGTCTGAAGATAGTGAATGGTTGTGGGTAAAGGGTCTGAAGATATGTGAATGGTTGTGGGTAAGGGGTCTGAAGGTATGTGAATGGTTGTGGGTAAGGGGTACGAGTTGGTTAAGGAAGTGGTGAGAATGAGTGAGAGATGTAGAAAAAGAGCGTAAAGTAATGAATGGGTGAAAAGTAAAGACAGTGGGTGAAGGAATAGATATGAATAGGAGGATGGGGTAAGACTGAATATGAATCTGCATAAACGACGCAGTGGGTGGAGGAGAGTGGGAGAGCACTGGGAGAAGCTCGACTGGGAGATTCCTTGGTGACAGGCTTCCTAGTGGTACGTTTGATACCCCTTAAAGTTGCTTCCTTACTGCAGTTTCGCAGTTTAATACATCTCAGTCTTGTTCCTGCAGAGAACTTTCAGCATTCTTTTCTTCTTGTAAGTACTTAAATATATGTACAAATATGAATCAAATTTCATTTCAGGTGAATTTCCGCGACTATAAATAACTACCACCATGTGTGACGACGAGGAACAGGTAGCCTTGGTTGTGGACAATGGCTCCGGCATGGTCAAGGCCGGCTTCGCTGGTGACGACGCTCCCCGCGCCGTCTTTCCTTTCATCGTCGGCCGTCCTCGTCACCAGGGTGTGATGGTCGGTATGGGTCAGAAGGACGCCTACGTCGGAGATGAGGCCCAGAGCAAGAGAGGTATCCTGACTCTCAAGTACCCCATCGAGCACGGCATCATCACCAACTGGGACGACATGGAGAAGATCTGGTACCATACCTTCTACAATGAACTTCGTATTGCCTCTGAGGGGCAATATATATATATATATATATAATATATATATATATATATATAATATATATATATATATATATATATATATATATATATATATAATATATATATATACAACCCCTGGAACTCACTGGGAACTACATCCTCAAAGAAGAGAATAAAAGTACTTCAGGGACATCCCAGGAGGCTTTCCCGGAGCTTATTTCATAACCCTGTTTTAAAATAGGTAGCAAAACTTTTTCAAGGTTAGTAATGACTTTTCTCATTGCCAGGAGAAAAAGAACAGAACAAGTGAAGAGTAAGTCTATGCTGGAGCGACCCCAACTGCCTAATCTAGGTACTATTTCACCCCCAATACTCTTAATGTATACTCAATAATAACCCTACACAGCCATAGTGTAAGATGCATCACTGGGACCCTGATGGCCACCAGGTCAAACACTATCAATAATAGCCCACAAGAAGACTTCTCTTGTTGTGTTTCTAGGACTCTTCGACAAACCTTTTATCTACCATTTCCTTAGCTTCTAAAACTGTATCTTGACACGTGAATGTTAATACATAAATAAATGCATTGACATACTAGCTTAGTGGAAGGCACGTATGTGTGTATGAAAGTAATTCTTAGAGTAAATACATGCACGTTCATTCACTATTTTTTTTTTGTTTACCATACTGGATATTGGTTTCTGTTTCGGCTGGACGAACACCAGAGGCCCAGCACGGCGATGATACAAGTTTTACCCGAAAATATAGGTTCACCACGCCTCCTCGCTAACTATGCGTTACTACCCATGGTCCTCAATCAAAACGTGATCCTCCAAGGTCCTCAGCATCTAAAGGTGATCTTCGAAGGTCCTCAGAATTTAAACTTTATCCTCAGTGTCTCTTACCTATTCAGAGTTTTCTCATCCCGTGCCTCCTAACATTATTGGCGTTCTTACCACACGGCTCAACCTCTAAGATATCAACACCCACGTCAATACTATCGATACATGCACACCCATATCAAGACTATCAATACACCCACACCCATGTCAAGACTATTAATACCTCCCCCACACCCACGTTAAAGCGATCTGCACTCCCACACACCCACGCCAAGACCATCGATACTCCCACGACTTCTCAGTGCTACGACCCATAACACAACCTCTCACCAACACAACCTCCAGCACCCACAACTTCTCACCAACACAACCTCAAGCATCCATAACCTCTCACCAACAGAACCTCCATTACTTCAATCTCTCACCAACACAACTTCCAGCACCCACAATCTCTCACAACACAACCTCTCACCAACACAACCTCCAGCACCCACAACTTTTCACCAACACTATCTCAAGCATCCCTAACCTCTCACCAACAGAATCTCCATTACTTCAACCTCTCACCAACACAACTTCCAGCACCCACAACCTCTCACCAACACAACCTTTCTCACTGCAACCTATCACCAACAGAACCTCCCTTACTACAATCTCTCACCAACACAATCTCTCACCAACACAACCTCTAACCCAAACAACCTCTAACCAACGCACCCTCTCACCAACACAACCTCTCCCCAACACAACTTCCGTCGCTACAATTTCTAAGCAACACTTCTTCCGTCACCCACAACCCAACACAACAAGGCATCACTACCCACACACGCATCTCCACTCAATCCCTGTCTGGCAGTGTCTAGCGCGCGACTGCTTCAGGTCCTCTCAAGCACTTCCCCGGATCAACCTGGGACATTCTTCCTGCGTGTGTCTCAAGCACTCCCCGGACCCCTGAAGCACATTCTTCCTACGTGTATTTACAGAGAGAAAGTAAGGGAGACCGCGATGAAGTCACAGTTGTGCTTGGCCACCATGGCACCTCTGTGGTGTCTTCAAATGTAAATTTAAAAAAAAAATTCGACTAGAATACAGTTCTTTGGATAGTCAGTAATGATTAGGATTAATACGCTGATAATGATATAAAGAACAAACTGACTAATATGTGATGAATTAGCTGTCAATATATATATAAATATATATATATTATATTATATATATATATATATATATATATATATATATATATATATATATATATATGTATATAATATATATATATATATATATATATATATATTTTTATATAATATAATAAATATATATTTCATATATAATATATATATATATATATATATATATATAAAATTATATATATACATATATACAAAATATATAAGTGCGGGGGGAGAGTACAGAGGGGATGGAGAGTGAAAAAGGCGTAGGAGAGCACAGAGTGCGTGGAGAGTGCATGGTGCGTGGGAGTGCATAGTGCGTGGGAGAGTACAGATTGCGTGGGAGAGTACAGAGTGCGTGGAGAGTACAGAGTGCGTGGGAGAGTGCATAGTGATTGGGAGAGTACAGAGTGCGTGGAGGGGTACAGAGTGCGTGGGAGAGTGAATAGTGCGTGGGACAGTACAGAGTGCGTGGAAGAGTGCATAGTGCGTGGGAGAGTGCAGAGTGCGTGGGAGAGTACAGATTGCGTGGAGAGTACAGAGTGCTGGGAGAGTGCATATGCTTGGGAGAGTACAGAGTGCGTGGAGAGTACAGAGTGCGTGGGAGAGTGCATAGTGCGTGGGACAGTATAGAGTGCGTGGGAGAGTGTATAGTGCGTGGGAGAGTACAGAGAGCGTGGGAGACTACTGAGTGCGTGGGAGAGTACAGAGTGCGTGGGAGAGTACAGAGTTCGTGGGAGAGTACAGAGTGCATGGGAGAGTACAAATTGCGTGGGAGAGTACAGAGTGCGTGGGAGAGTACAGAGTGCGTGGGAGAGTACAGAGCTCGTGGGAGAGTAGAGTGCGGGGGAGAGTACAGAGTGCATGTGAGAGTACAGAGTGCGTGTGAGAGTACAGAGTGCTTGGGATAGTACAGAGTGCGTGGGAGAGTACAGAGTGCGAGGGAGAGTACAGAGTGCGTGGAAGAGTACAGAGTGCGGGGGAGAGTACAGAGTGCGTGGAGAAGTACAGAGTGCGTGGGAGAGTACAGAGTGCGTGAGAGAGTACAGATTGCGTGGGAGAGTACAGAATCCCGTGGGAGAGTACAGAGTGCGGTGGGAGAGTACAGAGTGTGGGGAGAGTACAGAGTGCGGAGAGTACAGGAGTGCGTGGAGTACAGTAGTGGTTGGAATGGCAGAGACGTGCGAGAGCACAGAGTGCTGGGAAGTACAGAGTGGTGGGAGAGTAACAGAGTGTGTGGAGAGTACACAGTGCTTGGGAGAGTATGATGCGTGGGAGAGTAACAGGTGTGTAGAGAGTACAAGTGCGTGTGAGAGTACAGAGTTCGTGGGAGAGTTAGAGTGCGGGGAGAGTACAGAGCGCGTGTGAGAGTAAGAGTGCGTGTGAGAGTATAGAGTGCGTGTGAGAGTACAGAGTGCGTGGGAGAGTTAACAGAGTGCGTGGGACAGTACAGAGTGCGTGTACATACAGAGTGCATCGGAGAGTTACAAGTGCGTGGGAGAGTAACAGAGTGCGGGAGAGTACAGAGTTCGTGGAGAGTAGATGCGGGGGAGAGTACAGATGCGTTGAGATACAGATGCGTGTGAGAGTACAGAGTCTTGAGATACAGAGTGCGTGGGAGGTAAGAGTGCGTGGAAGAGTACAGATGCTGGGAGATACAGATGCGTGGAAGAACAAAAGTGCGTGGAGAGTACAGAGTGTATTGAGTACAGAGTGCGTGTGAGATACAGAGTGCGTGGGAGAGTACAGAGTGCGTGGGAGAGTGCATAGTGCGTGGGACAGTACAGAGTGCGTGGAAGAGTGCATAGTGCGTGGGAGAGTGCAGAGTGCGTGGGAGAGTACAGATTGCGTGGGAGAGTACAGAGTGCGTGGGAGAGTGCATAGTGCTTGGGAGAGTACAGAGTGCGTGGGAGAGTACAGAGTGCGTGGGAGAGTGCATAGTGCGTGGGACAGTATAGAGTGCGTGGAAGAGTGTATAGTGCGGGGAAACAGAAGCTGGAGACTACTGAGTGCGTGGGAGAGTACAGAGTGCGTGGGAGAGTACAGAGTTCGTGGGAGAGTACAGAGTGCATGGGAGAGTACAAATTGCGTGGGAGAGTACAGAGTGCGTGGGAGAGTACAGAGTGCGTGGGAGAGTACAGAGCTCGTGGGAGAGTAGAGTGCGGGGGAGAGTACAGAGTGCATGTGAGAGTACAGAGTGCGTGTGAGAGTACAGAGTGCTTGGGATAGTACAGAGTGCGTGGGAGAGTACAGAGTGCGAGGGAGAGTACAGAGTGCGTGGAAGAGTACAGAGTGCGTGGGAGAGTACAGAGTGCGTGGGAGAGTACAGAGTGCGTGGGAGAGTACAGAGTGCGTGAGAGAGTACAGATTGCGTGGGAGAGTACAGAATGCGTGGGAGAGTACAGAGTGCGTGGGAGAGTACGAGTGTGGGGAGAGTACGAGTGCGGAGAACGTGCGTGTGAGAGTACAGAGTGAGTTGGAGAGTGCAGAGTACGTGCGAGAGCACAGAGTGCGTGGGAGAGTACAGAGTGCGTGGGAGAGTACAGAGTGCGTGGGAGAGTACAGAGTGTGTGGGAGAGTACACAGTGCGTGGGAGAGTACTGAGTGCGTGGGAGAGTACAGAGTGTGTAGGAGAGTACAGAGTGCGTGTGAGAGTACAGAGTTCGTGGGAGAGTAGAGTGCGGGGGAGAGTACAGAGCGCGTGTGAGAGTACAGAGTGCGTGTGAGAGTACAGAGTGCGTGTGAGAGTACAGAGTGCGTGGGAGAGTACAGAGTGCGTGGGACAGTACAGAGTGCGTGGGAGAGTACAGAGTGCATTGGAGAGTACAGAGTGCGTGGGAGAGTACAGAGTGCGTGGGAGAGTACAGAGTTCGTGGGAGAGTAGAATGCGGGGGACAGTACAGAGTGCGTGTGAGAGTACAGAGTGCGTGTGAGAGTACAGAGTGCGTTTGAGAGTACAGAGTGCGTGGGAGAGTACAGAGTGCGTGGAAGAGTACAGAGTGCGTGGGAGAGTACAGAGTGCGTGGGAGGGAACAGAGTGCGTGGGAGAGTACAGAGTGTATTGGAGAGTACAGAGTGCGTGTGAGAGTACAGAGTGCGTGGGAGAGTACAGAGTGCGTGGGAGAGTACAGAGTGCATTGGAGAGTACAGAGTGCCTGGGAAAGTACAGAGAGCGTGGGAGAGTACAGAGTGCGTGAGAGTACAGAGTGCGTGGGAGAGTACAGAGCGCGTGGGAGAGTACAGAGTGCGTGGGAGAGTACAGAGCGCTTGGGAGAGTACGGAGTGCGTGTTAGAATACAGAGTGCGTGTGAGAGTACAGAGTGAGTTGGAGAGTGCAGAGTACGTGCGAGAGTACAGAGTGCGAGGGAGAGTGCATAGTGCGTGTGAGAGTACATAGTGCATGGGAGAGTACTGAGTGCGTGGGAAAGTACAGAGTGCGTGTGAGAGCACAGAGTTCGTGGGAGAGTAGAGTGCGGGGGAGAGTACAGAGTGCGTGTGAGAGTGCAGAGTGCGTGTGAGAGTACAGAGTGAGTTGGAGAGTGCAGAGTACGTGCGAGAGCACGGAGAGCGTGGGAGAGTGCATAGTGTGTGTGGGAGAGTACAGAGTACGTGGGAGAGTACTGAGTGTGTGGGAGAGTACAGAGTGCGTAGGAGAGCACAGAGTGCGTGTGAGAGTGCAGAGTGAGTTGGAGAGTGCAGAGTACGTGCGAGAGTACAGAGTGCGTGGGAGAATGCATAGTGCGTGGGAGAGTACAGAGTACGTGGGAGAGTACTGAGTGCCTGGGAGAGTACAGAGTGCGTAGGAGAGCACAGAGTGCGTGTGAGAGTGCAGAGTTCGTGGGAGAGTAGAGTGCGGGGGAGAGTACAGAGTGCGTGTGAGAGTACAGAGTGCGTGTGAGAGTACAGTGTGCGTGTTAGAGTACAGAGTGCGTGGGAGAGTACAGAGTGCGTGGGAGAGTAC